GCATGAACTGCTTGGGGAACATCAAACAAGAGCAATTTCCTCACAACAACCCATGACTAAACTGATCTCTCACACCTCTGACAACTTCACCAGTAGGGAAGATATTGGGTGCCTTTTGTATCCTCCCCCCGTTACTTCCTTTGATATATCTATTATATGATTCACACCATTGTTACCTGCCCATGCCACGAGGATGTGCATGGCGTCTGGCTGCCATTTTATCTAATTGGGAAGTATTTCTCTCTTCCTGTTCTTGCGCAGAGACTGTTGCTTCCGTAACTGAGCTACAAGGACAATTTACATTGCTTTGCAGTCATCTGCTGTGCTGTTAACTCAGTGGCACTCAGAGCAGGAACATAAAACAACTCTGTGGACAAGCACCTTCCGAGTTTCTCCTTGTGCTGCGCTTCTATAGAGCCACTTTTCATCTCAGCAGCATATCTGCCTTGCTACATTACGGTTTCAGTGCCGAAAATAAATGCCTTTCATATCTCAGCATTCCCAAATGCATTTCATACCGAAACATTGGCAATCTTAAACTGATGCTTTTTCATGCCTCTCGGAATATTAAAAGGCATGCTAAGTGAAAATGTGCACTTTAAAGCAGGATTTTAAATTACCTCTGCAGAAGGCATAACATCCGGAAAGCAGAGCACAACTATCAGTATCTATCATTCCTTTTAATAGCAAACTCGGGTGGTTGAGTGCAGCCAAAATCAGAGCCGAAATAGGGCCACTGAGAAAGGACGAGGAGGTAGCAGCACATTCATGCAAACCTGGGGGTAGATGGATCTGTCAATTTCAGTTCTCTTGATTACTTATTTTTCCCTGGTCTTAAATTCAGTTCTGCTCATTTCTGCAGCAATATGTGAATTTTCTTCTTACAACCCTTCATGAAAATTCTTCATCAATTTAGTGTGAATTTTCTGCTAATAAATGTTTTTATGCAGTTTTGATAAATGTCCACATTTTTGCAAGTCATTTCCCCTAATATAATGCATTTTCTGTGTTGTATTTAGGCACAATCCTACCTAATATATGCATTTTTTGTAAACCTTGGTGAGCTGGAGAACTGCATCACAAAATTCGGATGACTATGTTTTGGTTCTCATATTGTTTCAGCAAGGGTGAATTTGATAAATTCATTTTTTTTTAAATGAACTGAACAGAAGTTCTCCCCCAACCCCAGGTGAACCCTAAAATCTGCAGAAATAGAAAAAAGTTACAGGGCGCAACCCATTCCCTAAAGTACGGTAGCTAAATTAGAATCCTCAGTGGTCTCTGAAAACCAAAGAAAGTTGAGTCAACTAGAAAACAACAATGCAAAAAAAGGAGGAGGAAGGAAGACTTTGGTGCTCACTGGTGCAAGAATTATTTATTGTGCACAATGCATTTCAGAGTACAAGGACTCCTTCAGGAGCTATAAACACTAACAATGGGCCACATAAATACAATGAAAAATAACATTACATTTTTTCTGCAATAAGTATACATCTGTAAGCCCCAAAATTCTTTAAACCACACACCTCAAACTCTGTTGATACGTTTATATCTAAACTCCATAAATCTTAAAATATATATTTTTAAAGAAATTTAGAAATAGAAAAACACAGCATGTATCAATATGGAACTCAAACCTTGGCATTAATTCCTTAAAACGTCTTGTTTCAATATAAACAGTACACGTCCATCTATTTTAAATGCAATCGGAGCTGATTAGCAAAGATCTTGGGACACAAACAATGCAGTAGGAAATTCTCCTGCATTTATTTCAGTGGAGCATAGCTGAGAAATATTCCCTTGTAGTTAATCCAGTATGAAAATTACTTTTTAAAAAATACTAATTATATGTAACAGCTGAGGAATGGGGGATAGCTAAGGCTATCATCCTAAAATCCCACTTACCTGGGCCCCACTTCTAAATAAGCTTGGTTAGGATTCCATTGTAGGTCTCTTTTCTTAGATTCAGATCATACTGTTTCTTTATAGTAATAAGACTAGCCCTTTACAGATGTTCAGGCTCTCTTCCACATGTTCAATGAATGCTCTTGCAGTGGGCATGTGCATAGTGTAGTATAGGGTTCCCATAGCCTATTGGAATCAGTGTCTGGTTGGAAATCACTGAGATGTCTGTATAAATCTGGATGTATGACAGCCCATGTCAGAAGTCTAGATTTTGGCTCAACAGCTTTGCCCCAAAAAAGCTCAAGAACCTTTGTGTCCGGATTTTCACTATTTGAAATATGGCAACCCTAGTGTTACGTGCTAGCATGCTTATATGAAATGAGTTGCATAGAAAATCTGTGACAAATGCAGTCTTCTTATCATGAACTCAGCATCTGTCAGCAAACAGTGGTTATGAAATAAGCCTTCCTGGTGGAAATCCTATTTATTTCTTCAGTCTTTCCAAAACCACTCCTCATAGCCTTGGGTTAAAAATTAGATGCTTTCCATAGAAATACATTGCACAAGGTGGAAGAGGAATGATGGTGAATGTGGAGTACCAAAAAACAAAACAACTCGAGGGCCTGGTTCGACAAAGACTGTAGGAATTTAAGATCTTTGCTCAGGAAACTACAAAATAAGGTAAAACAGGAAGGGACCTTGTCCTCATTGGAAAACCTGCACAGGTGGCGTTCTCATTATAAAAATACTTTAAAATTTAAGAAATCCCTCTACAGAAAGGAACAATGGGAGGCACTTGACAAAGCGATCAAATTGCGGGATGACAAAAAGTTCTGGGAAATAATTGCCCAGGGAGTTTCACCCAAAGGGAAAATTGTAACCAACAGTATCTCATCTAACTTATGGTACCAACACTTTTCCCGGCTATATACAGCTCCAAACATTGCTAAACCGAGCCAGTTTCCTCCTCTTAAAAACGATCTATTAATGGGCTGGGATCCTGTTACCGAATCAGAATGTTTACAGCTAATTAAAACACTCAAGAATGGCAAAGCTCCCGGTGAGGATATGATTCCTCCTGAGGTATTTAAACTAAATGCCCAGTGGTGGGCTGCTATTTTGGCCCAACTTTTTACGGTAATAAATGATATATGCAAAATCCCAGAAAACTGGAAACTGAGCCTGGTAGCCCCCATCTATAAGAAGGAGACCCCCAAGACCCCTCAAACTATCGCCCCATAAGTCTCCTGGACATTGTGTATAAACTTTACACTCGCTACCTGCTAAATAAACTGGTTGACTGGGCTGACCACTCTAACCTGCTTAATCCGGAACAGGCAGGGTTTAGAAAGGGCCATAGTACAACAGGCCATTGTCTGGTACTACAGACAATGATAGATAAGTATACAAAGGTACATAAGAGCAAACTTTTTGTGGCTTTCGTAGATCTCACATCCGCTTTTGATTCAATCTGTAGGGACAAATTATGGCAAAAATTATATGAAACAGATATTGATAGACGACTTCTCAAAATACTTAGAGAGTTACATTCAGACACCACAGTTAAAATCAGAACTGGGATGTCAGGCGACTATACTGATCCACTGCCACTGGGGAAAGGGGTTAAACAGGGCTGTTTGTTAGCGCCGTTCCTCTTTAATTTCTATATAAATGACATTGTTCAACATATGGCAAAGTATAAGTCATCAGCTCCTGCCCTGGAAGGCAAACACCTGAATATATTACTATATGCTGATGACATGGCTGTCATGGCACTTACTCGAAGGGGCCTACATAGCATGCTGGAGGGGCTCGCAGCTTATTGTTCCCAAAACTCTCTAAAGATAAATTATGACAAAACAAAAATTGTGGTATTTACTAGAGCTCGCCACACATTTAGATGGTCTTTAGATGAACACAAAATTGAACAGTGTCTTTTTTTTAAATATCTTGGTATCACTTTCCAAGCTACATCTAGCTGGCTTGCCCACTTCAAGACTGTAGCCCTTCTAACACGTAGGACAATCGGTGCCCTGCTCAGCTTTTTTATTCGAGGGGAGGGCAACTGGTGATCCCGGCATTAAAAGCTTTTGTTGGAAAAGTGATTCCCCAGATGCTATATGGAGTAGAACTCTGGGGATGGAATCAGAAGCTGTTAGAACGGCTTGAAATCTTCCAAAATTTTTACCTCAGAAGAATTCTAGGCCTCCCTCAGAGTACTCCGGCAGCTCTCCTAAGAGTGGAAGTAGGATTACCTTCTGTGTCTGCCAGGGCCCACTTAAGATTCCTGCGTTTTTCACCAACCTCACAGATGCCCCGAACACCTTATTGGCTAAACAAGCCTTTGTATTATTACAAAATAATACTACTTGGCATAAAAACCTACTAGATATCCTATCCAGATACAATCTACCTGAGTTTAATACCCTTAAATCGTGGAGCCCCGATAAAGTTCGGGAATGGATCTTTGAAAAAGACGCCTTTTTGGACTCCACAAAGATAAAAAACTCTGGGTTTTCCTACTGGTTTCCCCGAGTAAAAGCAGTCAAAATCTGTGCCAACTACTTGGTGGAGATCACTGACCCCACCCTTCGGAGAGCTTTCACTATGGCACGGTTTCAAACACTGCCAACTGCATATCTGACCGGTAGATTCACAAAAACCCCAGTAGAACATCGTTTATGCCCTTGCCTTATGAAAATTAAAGAGGATCTTACACATTACCTCCTCTATTGCCCCATCTACTCGAGCTTTAGAGACGCATTGCTGCAAATTATACCCAACTCTATAATCAATCCTGAAGATAGAGTAAAATTTTTGTTAGTTGATGCAAACCCACGTATTACCCATGTGGTAGCGGTTTTTGTGATAAAGGCCATGAAAGCCAGGGAAAGACTTATGGATGACAATGGAAAGACCCCTTCATCGTCTGTTTAACTCGTTGCTCGTTTTCCCTCTCTTTCTATTTAGTGGGATGAAGGTTTTGTTGGCGTAGTATGTAATGAATTTTAATATTATTTTTTTTAACTATCGTTGTGTTAATGTTTGTGTACAGGCATGGTCCTCACAATAAACGGATTTGTCTTGTCTTGTCTTGAATGTGGAGTAAAGTTTTGTTGATTTTGGGTGCAGTGCTAGGACCAAAGCTTCAGATCAGTTTTGTCTATGGAAGATAGGACTGTAGCACTGGGAAAGAGGCAAAAGAGAGATCCAAGGTTCAGGAGTTGGATCGAAGTGCAAACACCACTGGTCTCCACATTTCCCCATCACACCCCATCAGCACCAGTTCTCCTTGCAGCTGCAAACATCTGGCTTTCTGCTCAGCTGGTATGGGCTCAAAGGGAAAGCCAGAATTTGAAAATCAAATCTCGTAACCAGTATGGAATTTGTATCAGACTTGTTATATAAAATACTTTAGCGAAACAAGAACAGAACAACAATAACACCTCGGTAGCTATTCCCTTGATATTAAAACCGTGCAGGATTTTGCTTTCTGTTTTGCTTTTATTTTATTCTATTCTTCTTATCTTTGAAAGCCCTTTCACTTAGCCAAAGACATCTTTGGGATTAACGTTTTTCTTTTCTTCAGGGAGAAAAAAGTTTTAACTATTTTTAGCCAATGTGAAATGAGATGATGAACGCTGCAATTGTCAACTCCACTTTAAGTTGCACATAACACACTGCTCTTCATAAATATTTACGATGGCTAAATAATTATCCTGGACTCTTCAACTTGCCTTTCTTTATTATGACCGTGGGGAGCCAGAAAAACACTTGTTCTGCTTCAAATGTACAGACAGAGTTATTATATTACAAAATATCCTCTTCTACCTTGTTGTTATTACAGGATTCTGTGCTGTTTTGATTTGATAGAATTAGCTTCTTGAAGGGGAAGACAGAAACTCTCGGGTCTGCTCTCACCAGATCAATACATGGAGCCTGGCAAGTGTTCCAAAACATCTCCATCAAAGCAAACCTGCATTCGTCTTCTTTTCCCAAATCCACCGGTGGCTTAATTTTTGCAACAAAAGCGGATGAGAAAGATAGGCCTATATCCAGTGACCTAAAATATGCAGGATGTCAGCCAAATCCTGAGAAAAGCATGTGGTTTATTCAAAGAAATGATTGAGAGCTGATGAGTTGCAGGTGCACCTATTTATGTACTAGAGGGTGTGGAAAAGTAGCAGAAAGCCAACAGCCCTCTTTTTTAAAAACAGGGAGCGAAGGAAGGGAAAAACCATAAACAAAAAAAATTCAGAGACTTCTCTCTGTCTCTCTTTCTCACATAGCCAATTTTCTAAAAAAACACAATCCTTCTAAACTAGTAATGGCCATGTTTTTTCTAGCCCAACTTTCCTCTACCTGGTGCCCTTTGGCTATTTTGGACTTCAGCTCCCATCAGCCCCTGTCACCACAGCCAATGGGCAAAGGTGATGGGAGTTGTAGTCCAAAACATCTGGGGACACCGGGTTACAATTGCTGTTAGTGGGCCCTGCTGTAGCTGCCAGTATTGAAGCAAGAGCGTTCAAGCCGTTTCCTAAATGGCAAGGCTGGAGAATCTTGTTTCAGTATCTTTGTTTCAGGGATCCTGGATTTACACTGAGCATCTCTTTAGGTGTCAGGGACTGGCTGGATGATGAGGACTGCTGGGAGACTCCAGCTGGAGAGCCTCCTAGGGAAGACTCAGAAGGCTGAGAGCCAGGGGAGTGGTGGTGGGACAATGAAGGGAAGGACAGAATGGTTAGATGCTGAAAAAGCAACAGGCTTCAGTGAGAGGGAGGAAGAAGAAAACACTGCAGACATAGGACAGGGAGCTGAGGAGGAGGTGGGGACTGAGGCTGCAACAGATTCACAGGAGCCTTCCAGTCTACTGTATTCAGCTCCCTTCCTGCCTTGTCTCCAAAGGCATGGAGACTGTTACATGTAGCAGAACAACATGTGCAGAGGGGTGTAGGGGTCCCCTCCTTGAGATTAAGTCTGCTTGGAAAACAACCTGCCAAGGAGGAGACTTAAGGGGAAGTGAGAGGCGCAGATTGTCAGTTCTGGCAAATGCTATACCAGGGCTTGTCTTGCTCACCGGTTTCTCTGTTTTATTCCCTGAATCAAAAATCAACTTTATTGCTTGTCTCCGTGCTGACCGGCAGCTGAACCATCCCTGACGTTAGGACAGGCATCAGCAATTTTTGGCCTTCCATATATTGTTGAATGATAAATCCTATCAGCTTTGACCTTGCTGCCTGGAGTTGATGGGAGATGTAGTTCAGGAACATCTGGTGGACCAAAGGTCCCGGTCTCACCCCGCCTTGTGGGAACAAGGCTAAAGGTAAAAGGGGATTTCATGGCATGTTTATCAAGCTGGTCAAGGATCTGGAAAACAACCCCTATGAGGAATTGTTGAGGGAGTTGGGCATGTTTAGCCTGGAAAAGAGAAGACTGAGAGGAGATATGATAGCCATCATCAAATATCTTAAGAGCTGTCACATAGAAGATGGAGCAAGCTTGTTTTCTCCTGCCCTAGAGGGTAGGACTTGAACCAATGGCTTCAAGTTACAAGAAAGGAGATTCAGACTAAACCTCAGGAAGAACTTTCTGACAGTAAGAGCTGTTCAACAGTGGAATGGTCTCCGTTGAGAGGCTGTGGGCTCTCCTTCCTAGGAGGTTTTCAAGCAGAGGTTGGATGGCCCTCTGTCATGGATGCTTTAGTTGAGATTCCTGCATTGCAGGGGGTAGAGTGGATGACCCTTGGGTCCCTTCCAACTATAAGATTCTATGATTCTGCATGACATAAATGCCCCTTCTGGAAATACAGAAGACTATCGTGCATTTCTGTGTTAGCTGCAAACATGTTTTCTCCAGAAGCAAATTACATGGAAATGAGTGCTAAACAAGTGCTATATTCAGCTATATTTCCAAAGTGGCTTTTACACTGCTCAAATATAAGATAGAAATGAAGAGTTAGGGAAGCATCGGGAAAATAGAATGAACAGAATGCAACCCAAATGGGAAGGTTCAATACTGACAGGCTGGGATGCTCATCCGACACTTCCATTACGAAGGCAAGTTTGGAGCATAGCTGAATAATGGATGGTGCGCCCCCTCCTTTTATAGACATATTGCATCTGTCTCTAGCCCAAGAGAGGACCCTCTGAGTCATCAGAGTGTCATTGTCATTTTCGTCACAGAGTACATTTGTTTTGGAATCCTATTGTTAAAAGACATGCTGCATCTTGTAAAAATACCCGTTGTGGAGGCTGAAGTATTCTTAGGTAGTACGGAAAGAAGGAAGGTGGGGGAGAGGCAAACGTAATTTACCTTGTCATTCAAGAATAGAAGAGCGTGACAACAGATATGCCATTTTTGTACGATACCTTAATGAGCTCAATAGAAAGGGAAGGCTTTGTCAGCTTTACGAAACCTTAACACCGGGAAAAGAGTTTGTGCCCTCTAATTTAGTCAAAGTTAGTCACGGCAAAATCCCAGTGATCCAACAGACTAAAGCTTCAATATAACCCACGCTCAGCTGGGAATAAGGCCCATTGGATCCAATGAAACTTACTTCTGAGTAGACATGGTTTATTTCATGCCCTCCAACAATAATAATTTATTATTTATATCCGCATATCTGACTGGGTTGCCCCAGCCACTCTGGGTGGCTTCCAACATATATAAAAACATAATAAAACATTAAACATTTTAAAACTTCCCTATACAGGGCTGCCTTCAGATGACTCGGGGATTGGATAAGTCCATACCCGCCAACATTTCTCCAATGAAAATAGGGATGTCCTACCACACCCTCCAATATTTTTCTGATGAACATAGGGACATCCTCAGGAAAAGCAGGACAGTCCAGGATCAAATCAGAAACTGGGGTGGTTTCTGTAAATCTGGGACTGTCCCTGGAAAATAGGGACCCTTGGAGGGTCTGTTATTTGGGATCGCACTGTAAGTTAGCCTGGTCATGACTTAGTCCATTGGTTTCCTTGGTCATGACTAATTGAAATCCTGCTATTTTCAATGGGACCTACTCATTACTAAGTTCCACTGGGCTGTGCCATTCACCTGAATATGAATGAGGCTGGATACACAGGAAGAACCACCATAATATGCTTCTATTGGCTGGTAGCTTTTGCACAAGTCTAGGCTAAAAGCCCTACCTCTCATGCAACTCTCAAGCGATCATTTGCTCTGTCTAGTCAATAAATGTGGTTCCTCCCCCATTCCAAAAGAAATAAGCTGCTGGGTGCCATTTGTGCAATAGGGAGCACAGGAAGCTGCCTTATACTAAGTTTGGCCATTGGCCCACTTCAATCAGTATTGCCTACACTGATTGGCAACAGCTTTCCAGTGTTTCAACAGGGGACATTCCCAGACCTACCCCAAAACTAGGGACCATGTGCATGCAAAGTAGATGCTTTAACATTGCTGTAGCCATTCCTCCCAGTTGCAATGTAGTCACTTAGGTGCTAAGAATAAATAAAACGGCAATGTTTATGTGTTCACTGTTTCTTTAGAAAGGAGAGGGTAGGGAAAGAACCAGAGAAGTTGGGAAAGAACAGAATTTTCCTCCTAGCAGAAAAGCAGCTTTGACAGCAGGGACCCTTTTTGAACCAAAGTAAGACATTTTCCAGTCTGGCTAGGTGTTAACTTTCTGTGAAATGGCAATGCTAATGTGTCTTTGACAGCCTTACCCTCCATGAATTTGTGCAAAAAAAAAATATTTCCTTTTTTAAAAAAGCATTAATGATTGACACAGAAACTCAATAACCAGTTGAATTAAATGATCCAGATGAGCAATTGTTTTAAATATAGTTCTATGCATCTGGGGTGGGAGTGAATTGTTATATTTTATATCTGCAGGAAAACATGAAAGGGGGGGAATAATCGGCTGACAGCATGTTCAAATCAGTTATTGTATGTCTATCTCAGCCCATTTTTTAAATGGACTTCAGCATTCACTCAAAATTGAAGCCTTGGAACTTGGTGAGCTTTAAATTAAAATGTGTGGTTGTTAATTCCTGCCACTTATTTCAACAGCCAGGCTACTTTTCGCCTTTTGTTCCTCTTTCAACTTGTTCTTCAGCCCAGGAAAGCTGGGGAATGCACGTATCACTGTTCCCAAAACATTTCTAGGTCAACTGGAAATTTTGAAAGAGAGATTCTTTTCATTAGATTTCACACTGTATTTTGGAGATCAGAAACATGCAGGCCAGACAGGGTGAGGAGTCAAAACCCCTGCATGCTTAACAGCGCTGAGCTTCCTTTTGAGGCTTCTCTCTTGGTACTCCTGTTATTCTAAGGATGTATACCTTAGGCCTACCACCGTTGCTCATGAAAAGACATATAAAGCTTATGGAGGTCACTAAGCTTGAATAAAAAAAAGAACCAAGAAAACAAAAAAACGCCACAGAATTTCTGAATCAATATCTGATGGAAAAGCGAGCTCCAAATTGGCACCAGGCTTAGCTGTCTGGAAAACAGGACATTAGCAGAGAACAAACACCTCTGAGATGATTTGGATCTGAACAATACCTTTTATAATTCACCACTGTGCATTTAAGAAATGTCACAGAGGAACACGAGAGATGGCTGGCTTTGTAAACTTCTGTTACCAGTAATATAACAGAGAAAATCCTCTGTACCTACTTCACTTCGTAGGATCAACACAATCCAGTTAAAGCTTCTTAATCTGAAAAGAAAAGGATCAGAAAAGAGTATATTAGGTTTTTTATTTCCTCCCAGAGGTAGGACATTTGAATGTGACTTAGATGCACTGGGAGAAAACAGCATATTACAGCATGTTACCTATGCTATGTCTGCTAACCCTGGGCTTAGCAGCCCCAAACGTTAAGCATCTCTTAACTCAACAAAAGCATGAAATGAAGGTCAACATTGTAACAGATCCCATATCATCCAGCACCCTCTGTCGTGTATGTATATTGATGATCTGCAATATCCAGACATTCAAAAGATCTTTACTTTCATAAACATATAACTGAGAATAATTTAACTACAATCTCATGCTTACACACTTTGTTCCTTACAGAGAGCACAGGTTTTTCCTTATTAACATTTAGGGATCTTCACCCTAGACAAACCACACCAACACACACTGCTTCAACATCATCCAGAGAAACCACTTTCAGCAGCCATTCTCTGTCACACACAGAGAGAGAAAAACAGTTAAAGTCAACAGTTACTTGAGTAACAGTCACAACAGAATGGAATGCCTCTCTCATGTGACTCAGTCAGCCAACCACATGAGAGAGCTACTAGCAAGAGTAATAAAAAGAAATTATTATTTAGGGTAATTGAATTGAATTCTTAATTATATTCCGGAAACGTGGGAGATTTCAAGGGGTAAAAAAAATAATAATGGATGTACCGTGCTATATTAGAAGCAAAAAAACTTGTTTTGATGAATTGGAAGAGCCGCAAAAAGATTCCATTGAGCACACGGATTGATAATATGGACAAGATTAGCTACATGTGAACAAATTGCATGTTGACGCAAAATAAGAATGGATAACTATGAAGAAATCTGGAACGAATATTTAAGCGATAAGGCAGATAGTGGTGGGAAGCAGGGGGAGGAGAGAGAGGTGGGAAAATATTGTTAAAAAAGGTATAGTCATAGGTATATCAGTGTATTCAAATCTGAATTGTCAGATTGTGTTTTTATTGTTATTATGGTTTTTGTTGTATGTGTCTTTTGCGGTTGTTGTTTGTATCAAAAAAAGGATTAAATATTTTTTTTAAATAAATGAGAGAGCTACTGCCGAAGGAAAAACCCCACGCTAAAAATACACAGCAATTCAACATAAGCAAACATTCCCATTTCAGAAAATTGAATCATTATCCTTAACACCCTCAACCTGCTGCTCCCTCTTGGAGGGTCCAGGACAACTCACACTGTGTGCCCCCCCCCCAGTTGCCTTCATCTCCCCACTTCTCTACTCCCCCGCCATCCATTGTGATGACGGTGGGGGTGACAGCTGCTCCTTCTGCCCTTGGCTTACATTGGCAATGGTTGTTGTGTCATTAGTTAGGCAGTGTCCTCTGCCCACCCCAGCTTACCTTTTTCTTTTGTGGCATTGCTAACTAGGCCTTCCAGCTGTCTGCCTTGCTCTAGGAAGGGAAGACGCAAAACCCCGGCTTGGTAGCAGGAGATTACAGGGCTGGAAATGACAGAGACACAGGAAAAGCTAGGGATTGTGCTCAAGGCAAAGCTAGGTTTTTATTAAAGTAAGGTTTTTCTACAAGAATCTTTCATGGCTGCCTAGGCAGGTCTAATATCTCAAAAGAGAGGGACTGAGGCCTGATTAAAACCCAACTTAGCACTGCTACAGATTCTGGAATATTGGAACTATTAGAAAAAGATGGAGTGGAATTCTAAATGTTGCAGCATGGACCAAAATCTTCTAGGATGAGTTGCACAATAGAGCAAAGAAAACTAATAAGATGCAGTCAACAGTAGGCCCGTATGTAGCTCTTTATGTAGATCTGTACATGGACACATATATTGCCATGCTTTTTATTTCTTCTTCCCTTGGAGGAGCTCAGAGTGACTTGCATGTGGCTCTCATGTCCAGACACTGATTGGGTCCACACACACACTTAGCTCCAACACTGCAACAGAACTGGGAACTCCTTTTGGTTTAGGCTAGTGTGAGCTAAGAGTGATGCTGTCAAGAAAGAGCTGTTCGACAGTGGAATTTGCTGCCAAGGAGTGTGGTGGAGTCTCCTTCTTTGGAGGTCTTTAAGCAGAGGCTTGACAACCATATGTCAGGAGTGCTCTGATGGTGTTTCCTGCTTGGCAGGGGGTTGGACTCAATGGCCCTTGTGGTCTCTTCCAACTCTATGATTCTATGATTCTAAGTAGCTGATGTGCTGATAGGTTTGGCAGGCTGAGATTAGACAGAAGACACTGCCTTTCTGGCCAGAGTTGTCTTAAGACAGGTTTCCTCAACCTTGGCCCTCCAGATGTTTTGAGACTACAATTCCCAGCATCCCTGACCACTGGTCCTGCTAACTAGGGATCATGGGAGTTGTAGGCCAAAAACATCTGGAGGGTCGAGGTTGAGGAAGCCTGTTTTAAGAGATTTTGCTGCCTGAGGTAGATTAGCAGGCCCATCAAGTGTCCCTGTTTTCCAGGGACAGTCCCAGATTTACAGAAGCCGTCCCAGTTTCTGATTTGATCCTGGAAGGTGCCTCTTTTCCTTAGAACATCCATATTTTCATTGCAGAAATGTTGGAGGGCATGTAATTATCTGACCCCCGAGCCGTCTGAAGGCAGCTCTGTATACAGAGGTTGTTTTTTAAAAAATCAATGTTTTATTATGTTTTTATATATGTTGGAAGTTGCCCAGAGTGGCTGGGGAAACCCAGTCAGATGGGTGGGGTATCAATAGTAAAATTATTATTATGGAATCGGATGCCCCTAATTTCATCACAGAAATGTTGGAGCGTATAGAGTAGCCATTGGTGCCTGCCACCCAATGTCAAGATGGCATAAAAGTGGCTCAGGTTATGTCAGCACCTGAGATAGAAAATTCCCTGGGAGTAAAAACACACTGAAAGTATGTTAAAGTGTGTAAGCATTTGCTGCCCTTTCTTTTCTTTTCTTTTTTGTAAATAAATTTTTATTGGTTTTGCAATTTCAACTTCAACAATTAATTTCCATCCAAAAGAAATGAATTTTTTTAAAAAATAAATAAATAAATAAAAATTGATGCCCTTTCATGATGTCTGCATCAGCTGCCTGAGGCAGTCGCCTCATTCTACCTAATGGTAGAGCCAGCTCTGATTCTGGCTGGTGTTTATTTAACTGCTGTCATTGCAACTAAAGGATAGGACAAATGGAGCTAAAACAACAGGGGGAAAATACTGAACTGTTTGGCGATGGCAGTAGCGGAGGCGCTCTGGAATAATTGTAAATCAACAAAGGGGTGGGGGAGTGCCATTCACTTCCAGGAGCAATTTAGGCTGGGAGATAAGCATATATGCTTCCCACATTATTTATATAAATCTAATTTTCTCCTCAGTAGGTGGTGCAACATCTGATTCATCTAAGTGGGCTCAGCAGAATATTTTAGATGAGCTGAAAACAGTTTATTTTGGAAAAATGGATTGTGTAGAAACAACATGCCCCGCTGCATGAGCAACGAGATGGCCCAGTTCCCTTGATCATCGCATGAGGAGCCAAGCTGTGCAAGCAAGGCTGATGGAAGTGTGTAGCACTCTGCCAAAACGTGGTCAATACCCTCAGCTGTGACAGCACCAGCTACCTGCTGGGAGCTGGTGGGTGGAGAGGGGCTCTCCTCAACAGGATTAGCAAAGTCAAAATAATAAAAATAATAACCAGTGGTTACGGGGTGCATGCCCAAAACTGTTCTACTGTTAGGGGCTGGGCAGAGGAGACCACCTCCCCAGCCTGACCCTTCCAGAGAAGAAGGAGACAGTTCAGAATTACAACAGGGGTTTGAGGGAGGTCACAGCTCAGAGGAAGATGAGGGGGAAAGCTGGGAAATAATGGGAGAGGAGGAGAAGGAAGAAGAAGCATGGGGAGAGAGACAGCTGACGGACGCACTGTCTTTAGAAAGCATTCCAGACCCCCCTCCTAGGACACGCTGGGCCTTGAAAGTAGGAGAGCAAAGAGCTCAAAGCCAAAAGGCACTTTTCCAGCACCCATAGCGATGACTCATGAGGAAGTGGGAGAGACGGAGGGGGTGGGGTTTCACTCGGAGCAGCACCATTACTCCAAGAGGCTGCATTTCTAAGCCTCTCTCTGTGAATATTGTATAAAAAGCATTGGTAAGAACTTTCCTTATCTTACCATTCCTGGCAATCTACCGCGGAGGGTTGGATCCTCTGATGCCTGACATCTACGCAGGATATAGGAACACAGGAAGCTGCCTTATAACGAGCAATAGCTCTCCACGGTTTCAGAAATGCAATGCTGAGGCCCCTCCATACTGTTTGCTTCTTTGTTTTTGGTGGGTGTATTCAGTGGCATAGCAAGGTCAGGTGGTACCCGGTGCGGAAAATTTATTGTCACACACACACACCCCACTGAAATCTAGTTGGACTCCCAAGAGACGGCGATCTACTCACAGTATAAAAAGACTGCCTGTGATCAAAGTTGTTGAGCTTATTTTAGGGGAGGGTTGGCCAAAGTTGTTGAGCTTTCTTTGGGATTCCAGGGTTTGGGTCCAGAGTTCCCTCCATCCATCACTTGTTTGTTTGTTTGTTTGTTTGTTTGCTTGCTTGCCTGCCTGCCTCCTTTGCGTTCTCTCCCTGCATGCCTCCTCCAGTGAGGCTGTCAAATGAAGGGGAAAGGGGGGAACGCCAAACCTCCCCCCCTTTCACAGAGGGATCAGGGCAGGCAGGAGTCACGGGCAGACAGCATGCCGAATGGCACCCCCCTTGGAGATGAACACCCGGGGTGGACCGCCCTCTCCTCCCCAGGTGTATTCTGCAACTTGAGACAGATACAGCTGTAGTGCATTAGTGGGGGTTGTATACAGCACTGTTCACACATCAATCCACTGTAATAGTTGCTCTACAATGCTTCCCAAATGTTATCACATTGTTGCCACCTGGAGGGACATCCTTGCATTGTCACTCAGCAACAGTAGGATCAAAACAAAAAAAAACCCACCCTGCCCTATTTATGGTATAGAACAGGCACCCCCAAACTTGGCCCTCCAGCTGTTTTCGGACTACAACTCCCATCATCCCTAGCTAACAGGACCAGCGGTCAGGGATGATGGGAGCTGTAGACCCAAAATAGCTGGAGGGCCGAGTTTGAGGGTGCATGGAAAGTTGCAGGAGTTCAGCAGGACATTATGGGACATGCCCTGATTGGAAATGAAGAAATATATTCACCCCAAACCTTTGCAGAAGCAAACAATAATGTAAGTACGGCAACACCATCATGAGCACAAATCATAATAGATGCACCCTTGAAAGGACATTTAGACGGGCACTTTCTCAGACCTACCTGAGGATTTTATGACGTAAATCCGAGACCTTCTGAATGCAGAGCATATGTTCTGCTTCTGAGCCACAGCTCTTTGCAACTGCTATGCCCATGCTTGTAAGTCCCCGAAGCAGATCAGTACTCAAGTACCCAAATATTTAAACTTTCCAAGAGCACATTGCCCTGAATGCAGAAGGAGCCTTTATATTCTTAGCAGGCAAAGTTTCTTGACATTAAGAGTTTGGCACTGAATTAAAGATCCAAACTGGGAAAAGAGACAGATTTTGCTGCTTCTAATAGAT